GTCCCCGTCCGACCCACACACCCAAACAGCCAGCCGAGGGTTAAAGACTTCTCCAGACACCACTTCACAGATAAGAAACTTGGCAGCAGCTCCGTAGCTGCCTGCCAAGACCTTTTACTCCAAGAACACAGAAACAAAAAACAATACACACAGTTTAAAGCCACAGCAAACTACTTCGCCAGAGATTCAGCTTTTGTCCATCACAGAGGTCCAAATGGCCACCACCACCCTTATATAACCTGTGGGGTGTGGTCCAGTGACTCAGCTTAATCTCTGGCACACCTCCTTTTCTGCTGTGCACGCTTGTCGCGCCTACGCTGGCGTGGATCCAGCCATAACGCCTCTTCATCACTCTCCGAAACACCTGGCTCCTGGTCAAGCTCTTCTCCGTCGGGAGACACCGGAGGCATTGCCAGGGAGGAGGGTCCTGGAGAGGGAGGCCTGGCCATCTCCTCTCCTTCATGTTCGGAGCCTTCTTCCTCCGATAAGAGGGGCTCACAAGACGGAGCCACAACACTGCACAACCCCACTACTCAGCTACTAAATCTGAATATCTTAACACGATCCATTTGTATCAAAGCCAGGATCCTGGGATTCTCTGTCCTAAAACAGGGACTGATTTGATCATATTTGGAAGACCTGTTGCCATGTGAGGTTGTCATGCTTTGATTCCTGATGCGTCGGCAATGTCTTTTGGTTGGATCCAGAAAGGGTACCATCTCTGTTCCTGCTCCTCCTTTTGGAAACAGGGCAATAATCTCCCCTCCCTGAGATTTGGTTAGTCCCAAATAGAGATGGGAAGGCCTGGGGGAAAAAACCCAGATAAAAATGGGGAAAAAACAGGGGGGGGGAGTTTTTCCTGTTTTTTTTCCTTTTTATTCCAAAACCATTTGGAAAAAACTGAACAAACTGTTTTCCCCCAATTTTTCTGGTTTTTTTCCCAGGCCTTCCCATCTGTCTTCTTTTTGGAGAACATTAAAGTCCTATTCCCCCCCCCCAGACCTTGGAAACCCTTTTTCAGATTAACACATTTTGTTAAAAGGCACCAGCTTTTGCAATATGCATCTTTTGAAGTGAGGTCATTAAAGCTTACGCCTTCCCATCATTGACCGGCTTCCCCTGGGCTTTTCTCCTAACATCTCCTCTTTTTGCTCTCTCTTTCTGCAATCTAGGATTCAGGAAAGAAGAGGATGATCCTAGGAATGACCCTTCTTGTGAGTAGAATTATTACCAAATATTTTTGTGTTTTGCATGCGAGAATCAAAGTCCAGGTTGTGAAATGTATCTGAGAGCAAATGCAAGCAAAGATGTCAGTGAGAATAACGGGCGGGTAGGATTGGGGAACAGTCCAGGTTCAAAAATTTTTCAGCCTGCTATAAAAATATTATAGGCTGCCTGGAGCCCTTCAGGTAGGTTTGTCTGTTTAGATTTGTATCCCATCTTTATTATTTTATTTTATTACTGTCAAGGTTTCAACTGACGAACCCAACCAAGCAAACACCTTCGAGAAATTCCAATCTCTTAATGTAAAACTTTATTGAGTACCTCATTTTGGCACACATGAAAGCAAAACCAGCTCTGGCAATATCCCTCCCAAACCCATATAGTAAAAGCATGGAATTCTCCTTCCTCCCTCTGGGTCAGGTCGCGTTGCCCAATCAAGTAGAAAAATATTGTTATGAGAAAGTGTCTCTGGGTCTGGTCAAACACCTGGTGCAATGTCCTTGAGTCTCACGGTCTGGCTTCTGAATCTTTGATGTCTGCATTCCAAACCCTTCCTTTCTGTCCTCCCCCCCTCCCCGGAGTTCATTGGCAGCTGAAAAGCAATAATTATGCAATAAATTAGCAATAAATACCTGCAAAATCATGCTTCGAAACTTGACAATTACTTTATATTTATTTATTTATAAGTAACTCATTGTGGGGGACAGACATAGTACTCTTCCTCCTTCTGTTTTCTCCACAACAACAATCCTGTGAGGTGGGGTGGGTTGAAAGAGAGAGTTACTAGTCCCTCATGCCTAAGGCGGGACTAGAATTCACCATTTCCTGGTGATTGGCTGAAATTCATCCAGCCTGTTTTCGTATATAAGGCGGGACTAGAACTCACTGTCTCCTAGTGTCTAACCTGGTGCCTTCACTACTAGACCAAGCTGGTTATACACTGGCACCCCTCCAATCAGCTTCTCTGCTGTGACTACTTGGCTCCAATTCTGTCTTTTTGGACCCTCAGCTTTGAAGTAGGAGAGATGAGGGAAGGAGCCGGGAGCAACTTTGACCCCAGAAATGGAGGTTCTCCCTGAGAAAGGATGGGGTGAGGGAGAAGGAGATCTGGAAGGAGAAGGGGGCAGATGGCTGGGCTGGAGGGAAAATCCATCATGGTGGTGGTACTCAGGGATGGAGGAGAAGAGAAAAAGACAAGTCTAGAACAGAGGTGAAGAACATATCCAGGAATTCATCTCCTCAGGGAAGTGACCCATCAAGAGGGAGCAGAAGCTTCCCATTATACAACTAGATGGGAACTTCCCTGTTTTTCTCCCTTTTGCAGCAAAACAGCTGCCAGTTCTGACCAGGTTGAACTGAATGTTGGCACTGGAGAAGGAGAGGAGTTTCTCTCCCACAATCAGGGATTTCTGCAGCCTCTTCTGGGAAGGGGAGAGCTGTCCCCAGATTGTTGAAGAGCTCATTTTGGAAGCCTTAAGAAGTAACAGACGATTGTGGTGTTGTCTGCTGCTCCTTTTCTGGTCTCCTGTGAATTGCAGTTAAATAAATTTGAGGGCACCAAATCAAGTTCAGTTCCTGATGACTGAAGGCTTCTCAATCTCCTTAACTTGGTTGATTTTGGTCATTTCTGCCTTCTCATCTTTTTCTATAGATAGACCTCCACTTATGACCAGTTGCTGAGCAACCGTTTGAAGTTACAACGGACCTCCTCAGAGGTACTTACAACCAGCTTCCAAAATACTAAGCTAAGGGCTGTCCATCTTCCCCCCCCCCC